TACATCCTTCAAGATGTTTTGCCTCACTTTTCCTTATATACCTCAATTTTATGACTGTATATGTTACTAAGTGTCAAATCAAACCCATCAAACATTCATGATAGTGGCCCACCAGAATGTCCCACGACTCATGATCAACATAAAGAGGAATCCACCTCACGAGTGTCACAATACTTAGTAGGGATCACAGCTTTCGATACAAAACCACCCCACGACTCATGGTCGGTGATAAAGCATCTTAGCATCTCATGTCGTCTACTTTTGATGGAAGGTCTGGATTAATAAGTTCCAACTTATTTTTATCCATTATTGATTTGATATAGAATTAATCAAATTAATTCTTTAGGGTTCCTTAGATCTCATCAATTACCATCTTTACGTGTGTTTATTTACCGCATTATTCATCGCATGAATCACAAGCATAAATAAACCTAACATACATCTAATGCATGCATACGGTGGGATGATCATGACCTTGCCTATACTACCCATTCGAGCCAAAATGGGTCTATGCCTATGTACGTAATAAATAAAATAGAACTACTTCTATTACAATTTATTTTATCTACCGGTACATGCACAGGCCTTCAAAATTTACAACTTGTAAAATTACCCACATGCGTGGGCCTTTTGCATCGAACGGTCTCCACCTATACAAAAATTTAAAATTTTACAAATCATAAGTCAAGAGACTCACAGGTCTCGATAAATTACATTCGTTCAATCACATTGAATAAAAATGCAACCATCAATCATATTGAATAAAAATGCAATCATTCATCATTATGAATAAAAAGCTCATGATAATCCCTAAATCAACCATATAAATTAACTAATTTAATATGTTGATGTAGTAATGACTCATATTAAGTCAAAACAGCTCTTTTCTGATCACTGATCAGTCAGACGACTCGTGTCACACCTCACACGACTCGTGTGATTTTCAATTTTTATTTTTATTTATGTCGGAAAAAAAAAAGAGAAAAAAAAGCAAGCATTGTGTACAGTTTTCTATTTTTATTTTTATTTATGTCGATTGTTTATTGACATAGCATGATCATCTTGTATTGAGCTTGGTTTATATGAGTTTGTGTGATTGATTCGATTCCGTTAGCCTTTCTCTTCCTTATCCCACCTTACCCTAAGCCTCACTACAACCTTCTTTAACCCTTTGATTTTGTGTTTATTCTTATTCATTTTGGGTGATTGGACGTGATATCTTTGCAAGCTTATGGTAAAAGTCTTCTATGTCTTGACTTGAGCATACACTTCACATTTAGCCTATACACTTTGAGTGAAAGAGTGAATCTCGTGAGAAGTGTTGATTTCCATTCGTTTATGTTACGTGATTGTGGGTATATTTCTCGTTGGTTGGTTGATGGGGACTCAAGTTTGACTTGTGTGTTGATGCTTACTTCCCGTTTTGAATGTGCATTGGATGATAGAAGATGATTGTGAGTTGAATAATGGATTTGACTTGATGCTTGAGGACAAGCATCGTTTTAAGCGTGGGGGTGTTTGATAAGTCGAAAATATATGTTTCTATTATGGTAAAATTTGGTCTATGTGTTGGATATATTTGCTTAAATGACGTGTTTTCGACTTTATCATTTGTCTTCGAGTAGAAACTACCTTTGTTGATATTTTTCTGCAGTTAGATTGCATGGTGCATATATAACCAACATGGCAGCGCTGGGTTGTGTAGAACATGGCCATGTCAGCATAAGCGCAGCTCATCAGTTCCTAACATGGGCCTGTTAACACTAAGCCCAATAGGAATATTAAAGAGGAGCAGATCAGATTTTAAAACCTACACACCACACGTACAGTAGCCGCAAGGAGAAAGATTTTGAGGAGCAGCAACCTTAGAATTCTCACTTTTCTTTTCTCTATTTTTTTTTCTACACTTTTGCTAGACTTTATGGAAGCCCTGCGCGGCTAATTTCTCTTTTGCTTCGGTTGAATACGATTGAAACCCCGAACTTAATACTGTGAGATCTAATTAGTTTTTATCTATTAATTCATATTTCGTATTGATTGTTTTGTGTGTTTATGTTTATGATTTTGTGTTAAGATTGTAGCCTGATCAACTATTGTCTTATTCGCTTAATCTATTGCTTGGTAGATATTGAGTCGGATTTAGATGATTTATCTATCGTAAGAAGCAAATGAGTGTGGTAATTGACCGGATTTAGGCGTTATCATTCTTAGGCAAATAATTATACAAGTTAGTGTTTAACGGATTAGTTATTTGTTGCTTGTGTTGTCGGGCTCTACTTCTTAATGCTATTGCTAGGATAATTTTGCACGATGTTGGGAATTGCCTAGTAATAAGGGTTGTGTAGGAGGATTTATTTTGCATTGCCAATTTAGGAGTCAGAATTCATCATTCATCTACATATTTATGAATTGATAATATTTGCATCAAGGATCAGTAGAATAATTCGGGGTGGAAATCTATTCAACCGGAGCACTTTACCTATATATTCATCTTCATCTTGCTGTTACTTTTGAGTCTTTTATTTAATAATCTTTTACCAATACCTTCTTCATTTTCTTGTTAATTAGATAATTAGGATTGTAAATCAATTCTCCCCCATTTTAATCACATAGTTACAGTCATTTAATTAAATTATTCCCCGTGGATACGATCCTTGCTCACGCTATTACATATTTTTAAGCAAGGTTAATTTGGATGCCTACGACAGCACGACCAAAAGTGGTTATAAATCAAAGAAAAGTCTAAGGCTCAAAAGTGGCTTACTATTGATTCATGAAAAATGGTAGGCTTCAAAAGAGAGGATATAAAATGAAAAGGCTAGCCCTATGTACCCTTGTTAAGATTTTATGCATTCAATTTCATCAAAGGTGTACACATAGACATGCATACCAAAGCAAGTTCTAGAAAAATCAACTAGTCTAGACATCACACATTCAAGAAAACGGAGCAAGATATTCAATATATGCTCATAAGCTCAAATCTCACCAAGAAAAGGGTCATAACCAAGTGTTAATGCCATGTGTCTCCATCACATAATCATCAAGTAGTATTCATCATCATGTAGCATCAAGGGCTCAAACAAAACAAATGTGGAGATGGAAGAAGATCGATTGTTCTAACAAATTGGCATAAATGAATCGATAACAATCACAAGCGAAATAATAGATTATGCACAATACACTATCATATCACATAAACAACGCCCCATCAAAAACAACTGCAAGCAAATTCCAAATGAAAGTCTAGAGAACAGAGGAATACTCACAGAGATTCATCATTGTGGAGGCGGTTGCCTTGCACGCATCAGGAGCAGGAGCTCTCAAATATCCGTCAGCATCTCCATCACAATCGATCTCAAATCCTCATCTCCATTGTGACGTGCGCGTCTCTTTAGATTCCTAGTACCAGTACTAGGAGTGATCCTACCCGAGGTGAATGGTGAATGAAGCATCTTCAAATTCTCAGGACGCCATGGTGTGGTAAGCTGTGGCGATGGCAAGGGATAATGTACCTTGAAAGTAACGCCCCAAGAGTAGGCAGTACCATCTCGGGAAAGAACTCCCATGCGGTCAGTGTTGCTTCATCAACCTTTGGGTTCTCATTAAGAACGACATAGTCATCAAAGTTTACACCACATGCCTTCGCGATAGCAGTCACGATCCCCCCTACCACAATAGTACCTCTATTTCGCTCTTGGACTCCGGCAAGATGACTCATCAGGTAATAGCTCGTACTTAACTTCTGTCGATTGAGCATAGCCCACAAGAACTCTAGCTCCGTCTGGCGCACTACATTGCGACTCTCCTGTCGAGCAAAAATGGTCCCAGTCATCACCCGCTGTACATAACAAAGTGTCGGGTTGCGAATCGAGGTAGCTTTCGAACTGCTCGCCTGATAGGGGTCATCTTCCACTGTAATACTGTGCCAAAAATCTGTATGACTGAACCCTTCCGGCATTCCTCGTAGACCCCCAGACACAAACCCCAAAACCCGATCAACTTGTATCAGGCTCCAATTGTACTCCTTTCTTCCCATATGAAACCAAATCACCCCACCGGCTTTACTGTCATGAACTTGACATGCAGAGAGCTTAAAAATTCGAGTGTCAACTCGGGGTAAGTCGGGAAACACCCCGTCATGAACTTGGACCATCCTTGGGTATCGAATAAACTCATCACATCTTCCAACATCCTTAATCGACGGAGGATCCCATCATCCATATAAACACTAGGTCTGATTTTTCTCTTTGACAACCCTTGAAAACGAGTGTGTTGCCCCTGACCGCTATTCTCTTCAGATAAAGAATGAGACTCACCTTGTAGTTCACTAGGCCCTCTTTGCCGATCAGGTTCCTCCCTAGGTTCGGGCTCTAGCTATGGTTCGGGCTCCAGTTGTGGCAGCAATTCGGGCTCCAGTTGTGGTGGCGGTGAAATTCTTGATCTTGCTCTTGTCCGTACCATGATGTCGGTCTCACTTGTGGTAATTGAAAGAGGACGGTGAAAATTTGGTGTTGCTCTGGTGAATTTTTTTCTCACCGTGTGGAAAAGGCGAGAAGCGGGTTGAAATTTCTTGAGAGAACAGAAAGAATTAGGGCTTTGGCTATATCACCTTTTATCATCTGCTGCCTTTTCGTATTTCTCTCCTTTTTCTATTTTTTTTTTTTATTTTTTATTCCTCTCCCATTTGACATGGCCATGTCAAATAAAAACCAACACCATTAGTCCCAATGTTCAAGCAAAAGTCTGCACAGAGAACAGAAAAGTATCAGCAACAGCAGAAACAAATTATTTTAAGGCATGGGCACGGCTTAAAAACTACCATGTAACGTGTACGTGGTATCTACCTTAAATCACTTCAAGTCCTAAACAAACTAGAGAAATAACAAAATAAAAAAAATAATAATAATACTAATAATAATCTAGAATAAAGCAATAAAATTTGGGTTGCCTCCCAAAAGCGCCTTTTTTTATCGTCGTTGGCTCGACATGAAGCTCTTGATTTATTCAGAATAAATGGGGTCCTCGAGGCCCTCTCTTTCTTCATGCTCAGGTTGGAAATTCTCGTGATATGGCTTAAGTCGATGTCCGTTGACTATGAAAGACTTCAAGCTCGACGGACTCCGAATCTCAACAGCCCCATGAGTACAGACCTTGGTGACTTCAAAAGGTCCTTTCCATCTTGTTCGTAGCTTTCCTGGGAACAATCGAAGACGGGACTGGTACAAGAGAACTTTTTGCCCAACTACGAATTGCTT